CAGGAACAACAGCTTTGGCAAAGGCTCTGGAATCAAATTCTTATTTGATATCTCTAAATTTAAGCCAGAATGAAATAGGATACACAGGAGCAGCAGCTTTGGCAAAGGCTCTGGAATCAAATTCTTCTTTAGCATCTCTAAATCTTTGGAGTAATGATATAGGAGAAACAGGAGCAACAGCTTTGGCAAAAGCTCTGGAATTAAATTCTTTTCTTAAAATTTTTAAACCTTCAGAGTAATAAGATAGAAGCTACAGATGTATGTGTAATAGCTTTGGCAAAGGCTCTGGAATCAATTTCTTTTTTGATGTCTCTAAATTTTCAGTAGAGTGATCAGATACATACAGGAGCAAAGGCTCTGGAATAAAAATTATTATTAACATATGAATAGTGATAGTTTACATTATTTATTGGGTATTATTTATTATTTGTTTTTATTAAATACGCATTTGAAAACATGTCTATGAACTTGTATTCTCTTTATTTTTGTATAATAATATATGCTAATTTTACTACAATCTCAGCAATCAATAGGTTATTCTACAGTACTGTGCAAAAGTATTGAGAATTTTTTTGTGCACAATAAAATTTTATTTTGTGATGCCAATGTTACCCTAATTAAACAAGGTTTTACAGAATAAATTACACATCAATTGTAAATAAAGTTATGCTATCTAACCTTAGGGTAAGTATTATATTTAGCATTATACATCTAATGGGGTCAGCAAAGAAGTGCTAAAATTGTAGGCTAATAATATACAAAAGCCAAAAGTTCTTTCCTAATATAAGATCTTTATTGACAGCTACAGATAAATTCTTTCCTAAATAACAGGTGTCACATTGTCTACTGTGTACAGAGACCTAGTACTAGAGTGCTTAGTCCAAAAAGTGATGTCAACAAGGTCACATGGTTCATACAAATAGCAAAGAGCTTGCCACAAGGCTCAATGAATCTAACCCTGGCTTGAATGCTTCACAAAGTATATCCAGAGAGCTTTCCCAGCTACATTGGAAGGTTGATATTCCAAAAACTGTCCCTTTTTTAACTGATAACCATAAAAAAAGATGAATGGAATGGGTTTTAAGCCATTCCTAATTGAATTGGAAAAAGGTAGTATTTTCTGATGAAACCACATTCCCAGATGTATAGAAATACTATTAAAGTTTATTATAAAGAAAATCAACCACCACCACAAAAGCCTATGCCCAAGCATTCTCAAAGTTCATTTTTGGGGAGCATTTTCAGCAAAAGGCCTTATTAGATATTTTAGATTCTCAATTGGATTGAGATCTGGGCTATTAGAAGGCCAATCCAGCACTTTTGGACATTTAGCCTTGAGTAATTCTGTTGTTGCCTTAGCTGTATGCTTGGGATCATTATCTTGTTGAAAGATCCAAGATTTTCCCATCATACTACTAGTGCATTCTCAAATAAATTTTCATTGAGAATTTGCCTGTAAAGGTCTCCAGTAAAAATCTGAAGAGAAAGGTTGAAAAGAAGGTGAATAAATGCTTGGTTACAAAAAAGTTGATGATTTCAAAGGTTTTATAAGAGAAGAATGGGAATCAATTGATAGATCAGTTCTATTTAACTTAGTTAATAGTATGCCCAGACGTATTGGTGATATGATTGCAGGGAAAGGAAACAAGATTAAAGGTTAAAATTTCTTGAATAAAGTTTATGCAAAATTTCAATGTTAGTTCTGTAGCACTGTAAATGCACCTGTCGCATAATGATAGTGATCGAAGTTAATCAGTCATGAGTCTAATTTGTCATTAAGAGCCTATGTTAATGTAAAAGAAAACTTTATTTATTTATTCCTACTTCCTAATCATTCATTTATTGCACTTCTATATTTCTCGTCTACAACAAAATAATTCACTGAATCAATTTTCACTTTTAACACCATCCGTTTGGGTAATATTTGATTATTATGCAGATAACCTCTTTTATCTTCAAGATCCTGTATTAGTTTTCTAGCGGCTAGAGTATGGACCTTCCTCTCATCAAGAACATTTGGATCAATCGGCGCGGTAACCACTGCAAGATTCATTGTAATAGTAATACTCTATGCAGGTTCAAAGTCCGATGCATAGACAACATAGCGAACACCTTGATATGATGGTGGAATTACTCCCAAGAAATTTTGTAGTCAGCCGGTGGCGGCCAGCAAACCTTTTTGTCCATCCTCTCCTCATTGCTGACAAACTGGGCGTAACCTCATCCGGCCTTTGCAACAGATTCGACTAAATGATGACTGACAGAACCCAACGAAAACAATCTCAAACTGTCTTTCTCTTATTCTCGGCCAACTGAGCAATCTCATCTACGTTCCAGATCTCACCGTCGGTCGGCAGTCGGCAGTTCTTTTGCTCTTACTTTCCAACCCCATTTTAGAACCGATAAGAGTTAGTACCACCAAAGTTAGCTGGGCAAGTTGAATGGCGTGTTTTTGAGTAAGGAACAGATTTTTCAAACAAAGCGGGGAGACGAGCCAAATGAGGAAACAGTTTGATGGCAAGAGAGCAAAGTATTAGTTAAAGCGTCTGTCGAGCTTTCATTATTGGGCCGCCACTCGAACTGAATCTGAACAAATAAAACTCAATATTGTGTATACGAGCAATAAATTATCTGTCTACAAAGAGATCATTCCATCTGCACCGACTTAAGATCAAACGTGGGGACAAGAGTCAATATTGTACAATTTGTCTCGGTCTTTGGACCGTATTCCGTGGAATGCTCTATAAAGAGAATATATATCAATTTCGACAGATATTCTATATAACACCAACCCCCTGCAAGACTTGATCCCTACCTAATGTCTGAATCCTTGCACTTGACAATGGGCACAAAGTCCTTTTTCCAAGTGAGTCCTCTCTTCTGCAAACAACTCTGCAAGTCTTTGGATTTCGATTCGGTTTTAATCTTGTGCGTAGGTGACCATACACAACATGTAACATTCACGCCAGATGTGCGTTCGCACAATATGTCGGACCCACAATCAGCTTCGGTGCCGCTTTAAATCGATCCTGCGGCTCACCATACTGAGGCGCAACAGCAGAAGGCAGGGACAAAGCGAGCTTGGTTGTGGAATCGGAATCCTCAGTTACATACATATGTCTTGTTCAAGAAGGTAAGCGCCAAGATCATTCTTATGTGAAAAGAGAAGTCTCATAATTTAATATCGCAAACACGCAGTAGGCACTTGGGCGATCCGTAAGCTCTTCGTTGATACAAACCTGAACAGCTCTATAGCTGCCTGCTGAATATGTACGATTACCGTCAATTTCAGCCTCAAATCCGTAGATTGCTGCAGCTTCGAGAATCGAGAAATTCGTAGTGCTTCAATCGTCACTGATTCTTCATTCTTGTAAGTTTGAGTTACGGTGCTTTGGTGATGAATTGCAAAAAGGAAAACGATTAGTATACTGTAAATTCTTGGTTAATGGACAGAATATTTCAATAGATTTTTATCTTCAGCAATCACTCACGTCAACAAATGCAGACATCAATTACATGTTATCTACGTCGACAATCCAATTAAAGAAAAATAATAACGTTTCACGTCTTTTACTCTTTGTAAGTATCATTTGCGTCAACGTTAACATCTGTAAAGGAACATGTTTTTGGCTCACTGCACAAAAATTTGAAATTTTGTTACACGTGACTATATTTTGCGATATTGTTATAAAACGAGCAAACCCTTTCCATGATTTATGCTTTGACTGGGGTTAGATATCGCCGCACAAACGCGGACAATCAATCTCAGTTGTCTCAGTCCATAAAAGTTGACTATTTATATACTGAGAACTATGCTCTTGGTTTGAACGCCGCTGCTAAAAGTGGCATGATCGCTTTTCAGCGCGGTTTGACTGTGTAATACTAAGTAGATTTGGGACGGCAAAATATTGGAGTAGGATATGACGTATGTAAGGTTAGCATAGTGCATAGCATAAATTGCAATGGCTTTTTTTTAATAATACAGTCGACTTTGTTTATGAGAACCATCTCGGGGGCAAGCATATACGATAGATTATGGGGCTCGTGATCTGTATCAGAGAAACTAAGTACTACTTATATGGCGCCACCTGTGAATAATGCAAATAACAAATCAAATAAACGAGTATTTGTCCGCGCTTTTCATTCGTGCATCCACCGTCATATACCGCTTTTCCCGTAACAATTTGGTTAATGTTTAGCGGCATAATTTTTTGATTTATGACCAATAATAAACATGTATTTCTGGTACTCTCTTAAAAGTATTGGATTATTAGTTTGGTCAATTGAGTTAGGAACACAATCATTTCTTTACCTTTATTTGTGTAGGACTATTATAAATAAAAATTTTATAATACAATTTATATGGTACCTTTATTGGGTTAATTAAGTCGATCCGACATAAGGTTTATTTAATAAGAAAGGCAAAATTTTTACCGACGGTGCACATTTGTTAGGCCAGCACTTTAAGCATTACTACTGAGTTGATAAACTACTACTATCATTGATAACAAAAACCTCATGATGGTTTTCTCTTCAGTTTTTTGTTGATTTCGCTATAAGTTGTGCAGAACAAAAGGATCTACATTTAATAAATTACTAGCATCAATGAACACTGTTTTTGGATAATGGAAATCTGTTTATCATTATTAGCTAATCACTGTGTGGGAATACTACACTTTTGTGTTCACGGTTTTGTAAGGATAATACAATACAAACGTTTGCGACATGTCCGGGTTGTAGCGTATTGCCATTTAATACTCGCTATTTGTGAAGAAAGAAAATTTGGTATGTGTAAACATTCTGATGACATACAACTGTCCGCCCACAGTGTTAATTTATTACATGCTTTGCATATTCGATATCACGACACCAATTATCCTTTACATCTTAAAAAATAATATACTGGGCTTGATGTAAGTATAGAACTACGAACAAACTCAATAAAATTTTTAGTTACTGTTATTGGAGAGAGACAGAACAGAAAGAAGAAGCTATGTGCTTCAAATAAAAGAGTAGACGAAGTTGCCGTTGATCGGGTAAAACGGCAAATCCCCGCCGATTTCAAAATAGGCTGTTGACGCAAATAGTTCGCCTCTTTGACTGTATCCAATCAATTGATCGTATCCGTTGAGTTGAAAAGATTCATCCGATATGTCATGGCCATATTCCAGCGAACGACCGTATTCAACCGGCCCACGAACGGATTCATTCAATAGAGAGTGTTCATTCGAAGCCGGATGTTGTTCATATTGGTTCAATTTATCTAATAGAGCACATCTGTCAGGCGCTTGAAGTTCTTCATATTCATGCTGTTGAGCAGAATCACTTAATAGAGCATATTCGTCTAAACTTTGGAGCTGTTTGTATGCATTTTGTTGAACGCTGTTATTTAATAGGGCATGTTGATCTAAAGTTTGGAGTTTATCTGGTTGAGTGGAGTTATCCACTTGCTCGCCGGCTCCTTCTTGCTTATTATTACTAATTTTACGTT